GAATTACATTTAAAATTATTTACTCTTCAGTGCCCAACCTCTCTCTCCTTCTGTACTACAGGCCACATGGTCAACCCACAGACAATTATATTTCACAAGCTTCTCTTTAATCTAAGATGCATTGGCATTCTAAAGGCTAAAACTGACTCACATCACCAATACTCTAGATTATTAACCATCTAGAGTAAAGACTGAGGTGTCACACCATGGTCCTTTCCCCCTTCTCACTTCTGTCTCAGCAGGATCTGAGGGTATGTGTCCACCGTGACAGCCTCTGAGCACAGGAACAAAGTCAGTGTGAGGTCAGCACCTGTGGACTCGACTCATCAGACTGTCCCAGCTGAAACTGTCAGTCTTCTCGGTACAAGAGAACACTGCCTAGATTTTCCCTTTCTGGGCCGGTGACTCGATTGATCCACCCAGCAAATTAAAATATTTGGAATCATCCTAGCAACTTTGTACTTCTGTGGGGACTGGACCCTTGATTGTAGAAAGATAGCAGGATTTCCTGCTCTGCAGACGCATTTCCTAGATTGTCCACCAGGAGCCCGGAGAAAAGAAATAATGCTGAAAAGGAAGCCCTGAGAAGCGTTACTTAATTTAAACTTCAGACCTAAATAAGCTCTGGGCACCTAGAAGTCACAAAAAGAAATGAGAGGAAACATTAAGCCATTAGAGGGCACTTTTGCAATCTCAGAATAAAAGTCTGCTCTATGGACTGGCTTACCCAAGGCTTACTCTTAGGAATGTATTTTCAGTTATTTATTTACAGTGACTCATCCTTAAGCTGAATGTCTGAGAGAAAATATTTTATTGGCCTGGAAATAAAATGTATAAAATCTTAAAACCGTCTTTAGAATATACAAGTAAATAGATATTGCATCACTGAATATAAGTTGTAAAAATAGGTATAATATGTCTGCATAGTAGTTTTTCGATTAGCTATATTCAATGCTGCTTTTAAATACATTTTGTTAAAAAAAAATTTGGCCTGGCCGAGCATGGCTCAGCAGTTGAGCATCGATCGAGGATCCAGGAGGTCTCAGTTCGATTCCTGGTCAGGGCACAGGCCCAGGTTGCTGGCTCGATCCCCAGTCAGGGCGTGCAAGAGGCAGCTGATCCATGACTCTCTCATCATTGATGTTTCTCTCTCTCTCCCTCTCCTTTCCTCTCTCTGAAATCAATAAAGATATATTTTAAAAAAAAATTTGCCCATAAACTGATCACATGGAATAAGTGATTAACTTCCCTTAATACCTGACTACATTTTTTCACCAATAAGTGAAGGTTATTTGGTAACATTTTGGAAACTATACTCCTACAGGGTATGAAGTCCTGTGTATTGGGATTATACTAATTCTTCTTGGAGTTTTATTGAAAAGTAATTGACGTACATCACTGTATCAGTTCAAGGTGTACAGCATGATGGTTTGACTTACAATATTGTAAAATGGTTACTACAGTAGGTTCAGCTAACACGCATCTTCTCCTTTAGATACAATAAAAAGAAAATAGAGAAGAAAAGTAAAAAGGAATCATACTTTTCTCTTGAAGACATCTATTTTGCCCATAATTGATGGAACAATTAAAATGGTTAAAATTGTTTCAGAAACAAAAAGTGTGAACTGATAGGCTTTTAGCCAGGGAAAGCTGATGTTTTATATAAAGAAAGCAAAAGATAAAGTTGAGTTTATTCCCTACTGGTGGTAATCTAAATTAAAATGTCTACTGAGCCAGTAAAGTTGATAAGCTAGTAAAAAACTTAGTAAGTCAGTGCTTAGTGTCAAGAGCTAGGAGATTTGAGATTTTTATCCTACTTGAAAGCTAATGAGTTGGCCTGCCATCGTTTTCTGAGTGCTGGATGGCACAGGACTCTTGGGTCAGAGATAAAGGACTTCCTTATCAGAGCAACAGCAGGGCCCACAGTATCATCATTTTCTCCCATTGGCTCCCTGACCCCCAATTCTCACAGGATGGCGCAAAGAGGGCCAGATAGCACCAGCCCATGCAGTGGGGTTTATTACAAGAGAGGAGCCCTGAGCCCAGGGAACCCACACCTTTTATAACGGGTAGTGATCATGCCCGCTGTTTGCTCCGAAGGCTTTATCTCCCAAGGCTGTTCACTACACAGACATCCCTGGAAAGATCATCTCAAACAAACACAGCTGTTCCTCTGCTCCCAGGAGATGCAAAACCTGCACAGAGACCCCTAGGGAACTTTCTCAGCACTTCCTCTGCATAATCTTATCATCCGAAGTTGTTCAGCTTGCTAAATATTAAATTGCAGAGTAGCTGATGAGGGGAATATATAATAATCATATTTACATTTTTAAAGTCACTCATGATAAATAGGTCATAGTTCTCACATTCTATTCACTCTGGAGTCTTATCTGTCTATGCCACAGTTTGACCATTTTGGAAAGGGGACAAATAGCAGTGCCTGCACCAGAGGGTTGTTGCCAGCATCACATGAGATCACGTGTGTAAAACACTTAGGAGATTGCCTGGCATGCAGCATGTACGCAACAAAATTTACTGATGTTATTCAAAATCCATCTCATAATGATAAAGAGAAAGTATTTCCCACAGCAGCTGAGGATGCTGGGAAATTCCTCACCAGTCAGAACTAGCTGGCTGTCTAACTCGGGCTGACCTGCATACCCCAGATGTCCTGGGGCTCTGGCAGCTTGTCCTGCTCTGCTGTACAGGGTACTAAGTGCTTGTGCTAAGTGCTTGACAGCTTCATGGACCAACACAGGGCCTAATGAAGCTTCTTTGCCATGAGTGGTTCTAGGGCAAATACGCCTGCATATGTCACACTCAAGTGGTGCCATGTGGCATGTGCCCTCCAAGTTCCTAATGAGTGTTGGAAGCCAAATTCTCACCACTTCTGAAAGGGCTTATTTCATGGTCTGGCCTCTTCTGCTCTCAGGAGGCAGAGTTTCAGAGATGTTCCTCCATAGTGCTCGGAATATGATTTCTTATGCTAAAATAATAAGAATTTCTTTTTTTTTTAAAGTTTTTTTTTTTTTTTAATATATCTTTATTGATTTCAGAGAGAGGAAGGGAGAGGGAGAGAGAAGGATAGAAACATCAATGATGAGAGAGTCATTGATTGGCTGCAGCCTGCAACCTGGGCATGTGCCCTGACGGGGAATCGAACCCCGATCTCCTGGATCCTAGGTCGATGCTCAGCCGCTGAGCCACGCCTGGCCGGGCTGAAATAATAAGAATTTCCTAACAGAGGCAGTGTATCAAATTCTATCCAGATCGAGGGCCATCAGAGGGGAGGGGTCCCATCCACTTTGGTTCCTGTTTGTTTCAAGTAGGTTCTCTGAGTTTTAATTTTTATTCATCCGGCCACCTTTTGTCGATAAAGCCCTTGTCTGCTGGTAGAAACTCACCTGAGCCACTCCTGCCCTTGGATTTCATCTTGAAAGTCATCTGGATAGCTGAGGGACAGATCGTTGGAGAGTATTTACGGAGGCCTGGTCTTATTCCTAAACTGCTAACTAGTTGGGGAGGAGATTAGTATTATCAAATCATCACTCATTTTCAGAGTTCAGAGGTTACCTACCCAAATTCTTCAGAAAAATGAAGTCTAGAGTGGTTAAGTGCATTGCCTAAAATGCCACATCCAGGTAGGAGCTGAAACTAAAACGTCAGGTTTCTTAGCTGTTGTCAGGTTTTCATTCCATTACAGTGCCGTGGAGGAGGAAGGTGGCATTCAGAGCCTTTGGTAAGCAATTGTAGCGGATAAACACTTGGGCTGTGCAGTCAGATCCACCTGGATTTATACCTTCTCTCTGCCCATGTAAAGGGGGGCATAGTTTTGTATAAGACTAGTACCCACTCCGCGAGGTTACCGTGAACTGGGCCCGCTCTGCGCGGTAACTCAGGAACTGGAGAGGTTTCTGTGGAGAGCTGCAGGGCACCTGGCAGAAACAGCCGCTGGGGAAGAAGTTAAGAACTTCTTGAGCAAGCTCGCTGTGAAAGCTGCTTCTCACACCTCATAAAAAAGAAGAGTTTATTCCCTTCAAAAATTATTTTAGTTGTATGGGTCTATTTTTAATAGCCTTCAAAGAAAGATAAAATTAAAGTCAAAAGATGGCTTAAGTCCAGGTGCCCTCGCAGCTACAGTAATGACTCTTTAGAAACAAAACTGGTCTGCACTGCATTATAAATGATGGAAAATATTTGCATTTGACTTTCTCACTATTTAAATTTCTTAAATGTAAAACACTCTATTTCCCTAATGCTCCAGTTCCCTGATGCACAAAGTCAGAGAAATAAGGTGAAACACTTGACCTGGAAAGAACTTGCCTCAGTGGGGACACTGAGTCATGTAGAAGTTGGCGTCCTTGCCAGCATCCCTGCAGCAGTGGGCAGTAGACAGTGATCCATAATGACTTCTAGGGCCTCTGATGAGAGCCAGTGGTGAATGCCACAGTATAACTCAACGACAAGAAATGACCAAGCTACACAACTACTGTGCCGTGGTCTCACTTGAGCTGAGAGAGGGAATCCAAGCCCTCTTTCTAGTACAGCAAAGGCTTCTCTCTAAAGGTCGTATTGAAGAACCCGGTATTCTGTAATACTTAGACATCAGCAAAGAGCTCGCCTTGTGATTTCGGACAAAGTGCTTAATCTCTGAGCAAGTTAAACCTTACACTCTCCAGCACTCCCTGGTGCGTGGAAATCTGATCTTGGGAATCAGAACACTGCTGTACATGTGTAACGCTGGGTCGGGTTTTGAGGAGTAGAAACAACTGTGCAGTGCCCTGGCCCAGGTGGCTCAGATGATTGGCGGTGGGTCCCATACACCAAGAGGGTGGTGGATTCCATTCCCAGCAGGGCACATCCCCGGGTTGCGGGTTCAATCCCGGTCGGGATGCATGCAGAGGAAACCAACTGATGCCTCTCTCTCCCCTCCCCCCCCTCCTCTCTTTCTCTCTCTCTCTCTGTCTCCCCTTCTTTCTTCCTCCCTCCCTCCCTAAAATCAATAAAAAAATAAGCAAATAATTGTGCAGTGGTTCATTTCAGGCCCTCAGCGGGTCTCTTGGACTCACTAAGGTTCAAACTCTGAGACATTCGCGTGCAGGTACCTACAGTGACCACGCCGGCTCCTGGACTGTGAAGTGGGGTTTCCTCTCGGAACACCCAGGGAGGCCAGTGCTCCAGGACCCCTTTCCTCTCAACATCTTTTTACTCTGAAATGCTAGTGAATTCATTATCAACTCTGTGATAAAATTTTTGGGAAGAAAAAAAAAACACACAAAGTTTTCAGCATCACGTGCGTGATCCAAAATACGTAAGGCAGCTCTGACCTGTCAAAACTGCAATCGCGTGACCCCCATAGAAAACGTGCGGCTTCCCCGGTGCCTGCAGAACTGACAGAATGCTTCCTGTCCCCCAGGATGGCGCCCCTGCGGTGGTGGCTGCTGTGGCTGCTGCTCCCGCTCAGCTCGTGGGCCCAGAAGCTGCCCACCCGCGACGAGGAGCTCTTCCAGATGCAGGTCCGCGACAAGGCCTTCTTCCACGACTCCTCGGTGATCCCGGACGGAGCTGAGGTCAGCAGTTACCTCTTCCGAGACACACCTAAGAGGTACTCTCCCCACAGCCCTTTCTTTACCCACAGGCTCAGCGGGGTGCCCCGGAGAAAGGCCGCCCCTTACACTGGGCCTCGATGCTCTGCAGTTGACCTGAGTGACCTTGCCTCTTTCCTCTAAGTAGGAAGAGACGGCGGAGCCACTGCTCATCCTCACGGGAGGCTCTGGGTCTTGCTCACTGTGATCTTTGGGTGGAAAGGGCGATTTTCGCATTTCTTACATTCTGGAATGACTACTTTCTTCAGGATAGAGGGAGATTGCTAAGAAAGACTCTCAAGGATTAAAATGAAATTCATTGAATACATACGCTTCCTCAAAGGGTTGCATTTAGCCTTAGAAGGGCAGTGTTTCTGTGACCAATGTGGTCAGATTCCGATAGAATCAAACGGAACAGTGATAAAAACTGTCCATTTACCTTCACGCCAACACCAGTAAGTTCTGCTCACACAATGCTTCTAACTATTTTGACCTTTAAAAGTGACCTGTTTGTTCTGTAATTAAGTATGGATGTGTTTGCCTTTCCTATAAGCTGATCCCATGTAAAGTTAGTTACTTTGCAGTTCCCAAACCCCTCTCAACCATACTTCAAAAGCAGTTTCTCCTCCTAGCATTCCGAAGAGTGAAACTACCTCCCACCATCGATGGTACACTTTCCAAAGACCGAGGTGCAGCAAGTCGTTCCAAAGACCAAGTTGTTGGGGCATCTTTCTCTCATCGCTTCAGTTTTGATCGACAGTAATAATGGGAGGTGGTTCCCTCCCGCCATGGCCCACATGTCACCTTCTGGTAGCAGGGGGTCAGTTTTCCTAGCTTGACGGACGTGACCTGTGGTTTGGGCATGCAGCCCTGCCTGAATGAAGTTACCTGTTAGAATGAATGTGATAGATTAGGAATTGAACTGTCAGTAACGTGTAAAATAATCACGAATCTCTCAATGACAGTCGTAAGAGTGAAGGCACCAAATGCAAGGACAGTGACATTGAAAGGACCTGATGTCCTTCTGCTCACAGGCTCAGTCTGTGGCGGCAGGGAAGGGCATAAGAGGCAGTCTAATCATTCAGCTGCATTAATCTCAGAGGAATTCTTGCTGGACACGTGCTTCTCGTATTATTTCGTCTGGAAATTTTTGAGCGAATCGCAGTTTTTCTTTAAAAATGACTCTGATTTCCCAAATGCACCTGTGTCCTGCTCTGAGGGGTTCTTTCCATACAGCTTTTCACATGGCTGCTCCTACCACTGAGTCACGTGAGTAGCTTACCCGTGATCCTCCGGTCTCTCAACATTAAATGTTTGGTCCTAAGAGTTGTCTTAAAAATTAGATTGCATTTTTTTCTTTGAAACAGTGTGTATTTCTTTCAACACATCTGAAACAGTGAGCACATGCTCCTCTCCTCCCTGGGTTTCTGTTTCTTTCATTTTTGTTCATTCTGTCTGTCCAGTTGTTCAGGTTTATTCAGATTGCCTTCCATCCCTAACTGCACGTGCTTCCCCATGAACCTGCCGGCTCGGAGGGACTCCCTGCTGTTTTGTATGTGCGGTGATTACCTGTGCAACGCGAGCCTCGTTTTATTCAGTATTGGTCGCCTATGGCCTGTACCTAGTTACTGAGACACAGTTGCTTATTTTGAGAAGTAAACACCTTTCTTTGAAATGAGAACAGAAGGTAATAGGTGAACTTGCACATTGATTTCTGCTGCAGAGTGGTTAGGTCTGCTACCGACATAAAAACCAAAACCAAACAAAAATGGGGCGTTTGCATACTTTGTTACCTACATGATGCCAAATAAATTATTTTTTGGTAGCTATTTCTTTGTAATATTAATAGGTTCGGTTGTGTTTATGTGGTTAACACCTCCTTGCGATCTGGCCAAGGCAACAAAATGCTACTTCCCAAAAGTAGCCGGAATTGAAATTAAGCCCTCTGGCACCTGTCTTCCGGGATGCTCGTGGTACATAAATTCCGGTACAGTAGGCAGTTCAGTCATCTGGTTATTTTGTCTGGGTGGCTGCCTAAATTTATTGTTTTACAAACAAGTTATCTTTGCTATTATAGTTGTTTTTGCTATCATCTCCCAGCCCCGTCTCCAGCCTCTAACTCCTAATTTCTGGTTGAATAGTGGGGAAGGGGGCACATGTATTTTCTTTTTTTTTTTTTTAAAGATATCTTTTATTGATTCCAGAGAGAGGAAAGGAAAGGGGGAGAGAGAGAGATAGAAACATCAACGATGAGAGATTCATTGATCGAGGCCACAACCCGGGCATGTGCCCTGACCGGGAATCGAACCCCGATCTCCTGGATCCCAGGTCAACGCTCAACCGCTGAGCCACGCCCGGCCGGGCTTTTTTTTTTTTCAGTCATATTTATATCTGCAGATGGAAACAGACACGAGGTGCAAGTAAGCTCCGGCTACAACTATAAGGTTATTGTTGAGATTCTTGGGTTCCAGTCATTCTCTTAGTAATTCATTCATTAAGAAATGCTTATCAAGCACCTACCACATGCAGAAATCTGTGCTAAATACTGGGAATACTGTGACTGAGAAATGAACCCTAAGTGGGCCCTCGTGGGGAAATGACATTAATCTAGTTATAATATAAATATATAGCCACTGATCGCAGTAGTGCCCAAGGTGAAAAGTGAAGGATGCTCTGAGGGTGTGCAAGAGAACTGGACCCTGAGCGAGGAGTCAGGAAAGGCACCCCTGGAGACATGAAATACCAGTGAGGGCAGAGCGTGCATTGCAGGCGGAGAAAGCAGCCTCGGCGTGGCTCTGAGCCGGGGGCGCCGGGAAGCCAGGGAAGCCGTGTGTGGCTGGATCACAGAAGGCAGCAGGCAGTGAGGCGGCACTGAGGGGGGCAGGCGAGGCCCTGCACCCAGAAGGTGTCAGACACTGCGAACGATGCAGGACTGTCCCCCCGAAGCTAAAATCTAAACCCAGTCATCATTTCATCCAACAGGTGCTTGAGAATTATTTTAGTGTCTAAATCTTCATCAAGGAATCGACTGCCCTGCCCTCTCGTAGCTTTTATTCCGATTGCAAGAAATGGAAAAACACAAAAGTGAGCAAAGGGGTATTTGCTCCGCCAGGTAGTGACAGTGCTTTGAGGGAGAGCGGAGGTGAGGGAAGGGCTCCTCGGGCAGGAGGGTGATATCTTCCGTGAGGGATGAGACGGGCCCGAGCGGAGAGCCGGGGAAGGGACCGCGCACCAAGGCCCCGCCTGGAGGAGGAGCGGCTCGGGCACGCGGGCGCCTGCGGAGGCCCAGGCAGCTGTGCCGGGACCGCGAGGGGCTCAGGGAAGGAGGCGCGTGAGTTTAGAGACTTGATTGGGGACCCAAATCATTGCAAGGCCTGTGGCTTTTACTCTGAATGAAACAAGAAGCTCTTGGGGGGTTGGAGCCAGGGGTAGTGGCCTGTGCTGACTTAGGTGTACAAGGATCGTTCCACCTGGAAGGGAATAGACTAAGGGGGTCCAGGGGGCAACGAGGAGACCAGTGGAAGGCCATTGTGCTCAGGCAAGAAGCGGTGATGGCTTGGATGGGACGGTGACACGGAAGGTGGGGCAGAGTGATGGGTTCCGGATGTATTTTAAAGGTAGGGCCAACAGTGTTTGCCGATTCCGTGGACGTGGAGTGGCAGAGAAAGAAGTCGGCAACGACTCTAAACTTTTTATCCTGAGCAACTGGCAGGTCGGGGTGTCATTCACCGAGCAGACGGGCTGCAGGAGAAGCTGATTTGGGGGCAAGAGTTAGAAGTTTGGATTCGATACCTTAAGTTTAAATTCCCAGTAACATCTAAGTGGAGACGGCAGAAGATAGTTGTACCTAAAATTGAGGTCAGAGCGCAGGCTGGCAGTGTAGACCTGGGAGTGGCTGACGTAGCAAAGGGGGAAGCCGTGAGCCCAGGTGAGGTCGTGCAGGAGGGGGCGCAGGGAGAGGGGAGGCGGGCAGGCACAGGCCCCTGCCCATCCCTGGTCCCCGGGCGACAGCTTGGAAGGTGGAAGGAACCACAGGGAAGACGGATGGAGTAGAAGACCATGGTGGTCCCTTAGCAGAGGGTGTTGGGGGGCTACGGAGAGAACACGGAGGAAAGAGGCTCCCAGGAGGTACAACGCACAGGAGGTAAAACCCACGTAAGCTTTGCCGTGGAGCCAGCGAGCAGCTCTGGGCTTGCTAGAACCGAACCCAGCTTTGAAAGCCCATTAAATGAGATCATCTGAGTTACCCAGAGGAAGAATATACAGCATTGTTACAGTTAGGCAATGTTTTCTTCTTCAAGAGTCTTTTGAGGCACTGTAAAAAAATCTGAGGGGAAAGGATAGAGCAGCATGTTTTGATTTTTTAAAATTTGTTTTAAAATCGCTAGGTTACTTAATTCCAACAGAAAGTCTTAGTGATGGAGAAACGAGTCTTTGCACTGATCGAAACCGTGATCTTTACTTTAAAAAATATCCTCAAATGGGATTAGATACCTCCATCCAAACAGGTGTGGACTGGCAGAGCTGCGAGTAACAGTCGCTAACGTGAGAGCTGAAGACAGCGCCGTGTTGCCAGAGACCAGCACGCCTTCTAGGAGTCCGCTGCCGGGGAAACAAGCTCTTGAAATAGTGGGTGGCTCTGTCAGGGTTCCCTTGGGGTAACTTACAAATTTATGGAAAACGGTACCTGTAGGTCAGTATACCCAGAAATTTCCTTTGGTCATGACTTGCTTTGCAATGGCAGGGCCCGTGTTAGTTAAATAACACCCCAAAATAGCTAAGTGTTGGTTCTTCACGCAGATAACCCCCATATTACACATGTCGGTTCAGCATCTTTTATTTCACACTGTGCTGTTGGTAAATCTGGTTGCAGACCTTGGGGTGGTGGACAATCACAGTTAACGCTGGACATGTCATGATTTGTGTCAAAGAGTCAGTTTTGGTCTCTGCTAAACGAATACAAGTGAAGCCACGTGGGTTTTCCAGTGAGTCTTGGCTGTACGGGTTAGAATGAATTACCTCGGTCTCAACGGGCCCTCTTCCCCACAGGTACTTCTTTGTGGTGGAAGAAGACAACACCCCGCTGTCAGTGACAGTGACGCCCTGCGACACGCCTCTGGAGTGGAAGCTGAGCCTGCAGGAGCTGCCAGAGGAGGCGAGCGGGCAGGGCTCAGGTGAGCAGCCGCAGGCCCGGGCCCAGCCTCCGCGCGGGGGCCGCGGGCTCAGGAAACACGCGGCCTTTCCCCAGTGAGGAGACTCAGCAGGATGCACAGGTGAAGGTGGAGACTCTCCACGGAGATGAGGAAACTGACGGGGTGGCATCAGGTCACGGTGATCTCGGTGACATGGGCGGTTAGGAGGGCAGGTGTGGGGCTGAAGGACTGAGGAAAGGGTGCAGCTGGGACTCGCCTCTCTGGCTGTGGTTTGTGATCCTGCCTGAATGTTGGAGTCGCCACTCAGGGCTTAGAGAAAACTGCCGTCTGGATTCTGTCCTCGGAGGGTCTGATGAATTGCCCTGGGGTGGTCTGGACCTTGGGACTGTCACCAGCTCCCCGCAGTGATTCTGACAGGCAGCCAAGGTTAAGCACTTCTGGTCTCTGGGAAATAAGGGTGGAAACAAGGAGGGGGCAGAAGGGTGCTTAGCACCCTGAGTGTAGGACAAGTAGAAAGTCATAGGAGGCGCGGGGTTGGCATTTAGAGAAGGTGCCGGTGATGGAAAGCAAGGTACAAAGAAACAAGAAGAGCCTGCAGGAGGCCCTGGGATGACGGTGCTAAGGGGCGAAGGCATCATAGCTCGAAGGATGCCGCGCTCAGAGTCACGAGGGACAGTTGTAATTAGAAAGATACTGACCTAAGGGCATTGGTGAGGCTGAGAGAGAAAATTTATGGCCTTGTGATGGCTGTTGATCTTGTGGTTTAAGTAAGAAACCCTGTATGCTTTGGGGTGAGCTGGAAAAGGGGGGTCCCTACTCGGTACCCAGTCCTTTCCTGGGTCCCCTAAACTCGTCCCCACACTGATCTCTGTGTGATAGCTGATGCTCACAGGGACAAAAGACGGAAAGCATTGTTTTCAGTATCTCCTGGACCCGCGTTCCATCCGTTGAACACGGGGCTCTTACTGGGCCTTTCCAGTCTACATTTTAAGGAGACTGTCCTGCTAACAAAAGTGAGGTTAGTGAAACAGCTGGCCATCCAAATGCAACGGATGGAACCCGCTCGGTAAGCAGATTGGCAGGAGGGGTAATCTCGAAAAGGATTGCAGTCTTTGACCTAAAAATTCCACTGATTGGAGTCTCTCCTGAAAAAAGAATTTAAAATCAGAACAGCCTTACACATATGTAACAGCACTGTTTATAGTGGTCAAAAACTAACCAATAGTATTATTTTTATGCTATAATCTTAAGTGAGAAAAGCGGGATTAAAAAATGCAGGTTTGTCTAGGTACATGCATGAAAGAAGAATGTTATTAAGTTACAAAGAAAAATGAGATGGGATACTATCAGTAGCATAAAAATATGGAAAAAATAAATGAAAGACTAGATGGAGATAACCCAAAATCTTTATAAAGGGCTGTTTCAGGACCATGACTATGGGTGATTTTTTAAAAATCCTCACTTGAGGATAGCTTTCGTTGATTTTTTGTTTTTAGGGAGAGGGAGAGGGGGAGAGAGCGAAACATCGACCACTTGCCTCCCATACCTGCCCTGACTGAGAATTGAACCCACAACCTTTCCGTGTGCAGGACGACCTGCAACCAACTGGGGCACCGGCCAGGGCGACTTTTTTTATCTGTCCTCTGTTTCCCAGTTTTCTGCTGGGAACAGTGTTTTTTTAAATTTAACTTAATTTTTAAAAAAATATATCTTTATTGATTTCAGAGAGAGGAAGGGAGAGGAGGAGAGAGAGAGAAACATCAATGATGACAGAGTCATTGATCGGCTGCTCCCGACTGGGGATCGAGCCCACAACCCGGGGCATGTGCCCTGACCGGGAATCGAACCCCGATCGCCTGGATCCTAGGTCGACGCTCAACCGCTGAGCCAGGCTGGCCAGGCGGGAATAGTGTTATTCTGACAGCGGCGATGGGCAGGGAGCCCAAGCAGGCAGCTGAGCTCGCCCAGTGCGGCCTGGGCCTGACGCGCCTCGCGGTCTGTCTTCCAGGTGAGCCCGAGCCCTTGGAGCAGCAGAAGCAGCAGGTCACGAACGAGGACGGCACGGAGCTGTTCTCCTACAAGGGCAACGACGTGGAGTCCTTCGCGTCGTCCAGCTCCCCCTCCGGCTTGTACCGGCTGGAGCTCCTGTCCACAGAGAAGGACACGCACTTCAAAGTGTACGCCACCACGACACCAGAGTCCGACCAGCCCTACCCAGAGTTACCCTACGACCCCAGAGTGGACGTCACCTCCCTGGGACGCACCACGGTCACCCTGGCCTGGAAACCCAGCCCCACGGCCTCTCTGCTGAAGCAGCCCATCCAGTACTGCGTGGTCATCAACCGAGAGCACAACTTCAAAAGCCTCTGTGCGGTGGAGGCGAAGCTGAGCGTGGACGATGCCTTCATGGTGGCACCGAAACCGGGCCTGGACTTCAGCCCCTTCGACTTCGCCCACTTTGGATTCCCTCCGGAGAAGCCGGGCAAAGAACGCAGCTTCCTGGCCAAGCCGCCGGCAAAGCTGGGCCGCCCCGTCTACCCGCGGCCCAGGGCCGACATCCAGAAGATCTGCATAGGAAACAAGAACATCTTCACCGTCTCGGACCTCAAGCCCGACACGCAGTACTACTTCGATGTCTTCGTGGCCAACAGCCGCAACAACATGAGCACCGCCTACGTGGGCACCTTCGCCAGGACCAGGGAGGAGGCCAAGCAGAAGACGGTGGAGCTGAAGGACGGGAAAGTGACGGACGTCTTTGTGAAAAGGAAGGGAGCCAAGTTTCTGCGGTTCGCTCCCGTCTCCTCTCACCAGAAAGTCACCTTCTTTGTCCACTCTTGTCTGGACGCTGTGCAGATCCAGGTGAGAAGGGATGGGAAACTGATTCTGTCCCAGAACGTGGAAGGCATCCGGCAGTTCCTGCTCAGGGGAAAGCCCAAGGCCAAGTACCTCATCCGGCTGAAGGGAAACAAGAAGGGAGCGTCGATGCTGAAAATCCTGGCGAGCACGCGGCCCGGCAAGCACGCCTTCCCCTCCCTGCCCGAGGACACGCGGATCAAAGCCTTCGACAAGCTCCGCACCTGCTCGTCCGCCACCGTGGCCTGGCTGGGCACCCAGGAGAGGAACAAGTTCTGCATCTACAAGAAGGAGGTGGGTGACAGCTACAGTGACGACCAGAAGAAAAGGGAACAGAACCAGTGTCTGGGGCCAGATACAAGGAAGAAATCAGAGAAGGTCCTGTGCAAGTACTTCCACAGCCAGAACCTGCAGAAAGCGGTGACCACAGAGACTATCAAGGGTCTTCAGCCTGGCAAAGCTTACCTGCTGGACGTTTACGCCATAGGACACGGCGGGCACTCTGTGAAGTACCAGAGTAAAGTCGTGAAGACCAGGAAGTTCTGTTAGTGACCCGGCGGGCAGGTGCGGCCGCGGGACTCGGGGGCCACCGCAGGCGCTCCGCAGCTGGGAGAAGGCGCGCCTGTGCCTGGCGGGGAAGGAAGGCCTCGGCGCGTTTGTGGATGCTGGCGCAGTCACTGCTGGAGGGGACGTGTTCTCGTGGGCCCCGAGGTGCCTGCTGTGCTGACGTCACAGATGGGACATCCTGAAGGAACTGCCACCCCTTGCTTTGACCACTGCATGAACTGCTCCTAAATTATTTTATTACCTAAAAGTTTAAAATATGCCGTTCATTGCACACATCCACAAAATGCAAGTCATCCCTCTCTATAGATGCTAGGATATATCTATATAAATTATTTTATAAAGTCTTGTTTTAAATGTCAGTGTTTCTATGATCGTAAACTATTAAAGTCTCTTCCTGTTAAATACAGATCTAATCTAAGCGTATGAAGTGGACAGCCCTCTAGTCAGTATATTGTAAATTCTTATCTGTTGGGTAAAGTGTTTAAATGCTGTATGTATCTCATGTACAGAGTTGACACATTATATTCGTGTACATAAAATTAAAGATATTAGATTATATTCTTCTCATTCTCCCAAGCAGCTACCTTGGTGTATTCAATTAATATTCTGTCCCCCAAACTGCGCCTTTATGTGCTTTGGAACCAGAACTGACCCTTTCTCATAGTTAAAAGACATGCTCTTCTCCCTGAAGTTACTATGGCAGTAGAGACGGCTATTCCAGTTCGCATTTTGACATTAAACAGCTCACTGTTGTGAGAAGAGAGGGCGCCGATGGATTGGTTTCCATAGAACAAGACGAGCCAAACACTGCAGCTCCCTAGTGTCCAACAGATCGTCCTTAACAACCCAAACTACGCCACCTTGATTTTAAAAATAAGTATCTACTGTAAGTACAAAATTGGGATAATTCCAAGTGTTTTCCACGCAACTGTGGTTAGTAATGAGAAAACAACAGAAGCTGCCGTTTTGTAACATGGACAGTCTAATATTTTTCACTTTGATTTTTCAGGAATTTTTAAAAAATAACTTAGGTGTAGGAATCGGGGCCACAAGTAACAACGACCATGTGTCGGAGGCTGTGGGAGGACAGTCCTAGGCCGTTCGCTCTCCGCGGGCTCTGTAGCTGGGTGTGATGAGAACACCGGAGCAGGATGCAGAAGGGACAGAACTTGCAGTCACCTGAGCTGTGTGACTTCAGGACACTCCATTGTCCCCTTTCCCGTTTATAAAATCAGGGGTTATCAGATTTGGATAAGATGACATTACAGGATACCTTCTATCATAAGGCATAGTCTTTGGTAGAAGAACTCTGCGATTCTCAATTACAAAGTGTTTCTGGAGCTACAGATGGGGACAGGTATGACCTCACCTCTCCATTGGCCCTGACCTGCTGGCTCCAGCCGTCCCGTGGGGCAAGCACGGCTAGTGTTCTGTGGAGGGCACCTCGCTGTGGCCCAGGTAGTGTCAGTGATGGTCCTCACGACAGGTGCTCTGCCCCCCTGAGGAGGAAATATCCCCCGTCAAAGTGTGCCATCCAGCGCATCAGCGTTGAGACCAAATCCAAATGTGTCACCCCCGTCTGTACAAAACAGCAGTGACACCTGAAATAATTTTTAATAAGAGTGTGTATGTAACTAACCAAGGAAAACTTTGTTGGTTGACAGTAAACCTTTAGAATGGACAACGTCCCAGAGATGTTCTCTCCCGAGTTATAAACGCGGCGGCTTTGGAAGGGGACGCGCTTCCTCCCATTCCTCGCGGATACGCTATTACACAGCAATGCGCTAAACTCGCTCCGGCGAACCCGAGCTGTGGCAGCTTCCGAAGGTGGTGGCCCCCGTGCTCGGAAATCCTGGGAACCCGGCCAAGTCAGTTTAACTGAGCTTTCACTTCCCAGCCGGCTGCGATGGGGGTTTCTACATTCTCTGGATAAGTCTGAGATTTCTTTCATGCACCAGTGAAATTTGCCTTTTAAAAATTATAAGAAAATTAAAGACACATTGAGAAACTTCTGTCATAAAGGAGAGAAACCTGTTAAAAATAAACTCCCTTATTTACTAATGTGTTTAGGTTTTAGGAGCATCCAGGTGAACTGAGGACAGGAAAGAAAAATTTGTTCTTAATTAACGAACTAGAAAGTAGCTCCTAGGAAAAGGCAACACCTCGTGTCCGTGAAGCTGCAGGAGTCTGCTGAGAACGGCGCCGGGAGCCCCCGGCCGGCAGTGCATCGGCGAGGGCCGTCTGCACGCGTGTAGCCCACGTGCGCTGTCTTCATTTTTCAGGTGCAAAAAGAAAGTGAAGACTAGAGAAATAAAAATAGAGCTCTCAGAGTCAAAACAGATACTCGGGGGCACTGCCCAGACTCCAAAGTCCTTACCGGAATATAAATGACCAATTCTTAGAAGGGGGAAAAAGTCACGTGTGGATCATTTTCTGAAAAGAAATAAACTTTTCGCTTTATTGGTGATTTCAAAGCAACTTATTCTTAAAGGCCATTCAGATTTCTTTAAGAACGGGTGTATAATCTATAACCCATAACTCCAAACTTGTAAGAAAAAAATGGCACGGTTGTTTTTAGAGAGAGAGTATTCTAATCTAGGCTTGTATTCACACACACACTTGAGGCGGTAAGATCATCAGGCAGTTGCTTAAATGATAGCCCCATACTTTTTAAATCTAAAATGATTCAGAATCTATAAAAATTGTAGCAGATGACTTTCTTGGTTCAGTCACTTTATAATCAATGTCTAGATGAACTTTCAAATGTGCATTAAAGGATTAGTGCTGGAAAAGACCTAGGCACCCTTATTTTTGCTATTCAGAAAACATTTGAAAAATTATGATTTGGGGGGATCTTGAAAAGCAAAACTAAGTGACTTCAATAAGATCATCACTTAGATGCACTTTAGGGTTCGAAATCAGCTTAGTGACTCTTAAAAGTTTGGGAGGTCCAGACACCTTCAATGAAAACACACTGTTTTGCGTACAACTCATGGGTTTTGATGGACCTGTAACCAATCAGAATGTCAGTGCCAGCCAGCCCCTCAGAGACCACTGGTTCACGGCTTCATTTAATACGTGAGGAACCTGAGGCCCAGTTGCAAGCAGAACCCAGATTCCTGTGCCCCCCATTTAACCTTCGCTCCAGAGCCACAGCGACTCACCCGGGTGCACCTCTGTTCACGGGCTGGCGCCGAAGCAACAGCCGATGACACCTAGCACCTAGGACGAGGCCCTGGAGCTCCTGCAGCTGCTCCCTTCCCTCTCGGATGAGTGCGACCGAGAGAAATCGGCTGGGAGCCGGCCTTGGGTCCGTCCCTGCTCAGCGATGTGACCGCTGGCGAGCTTCAGTGGCCCTGTGTGTGCTTGTCCGCAGGACCTGGGCGCTCCAGGGACGCTCACCACTCTGTTCTCCCCAGAGAGCCTGGCCATAAAATTAACTGTGGTTCACTTGGGCCTTTTTTGTTATTTTGAAGGTGAAAAGTGGGAGAGGGAGGCAGAGTGAGGAGATGGAGAAAAGTATAGTTGTACCTCATTTCATTCTCTAATGTAGCTGAATTTTATTATGTTTTGGGATTCTATCCTACAGGCAACCTTACCCTGGAAAATCTGACCTTGGTCACCGTCTAGTAATCAACGGCAGGGGAGCTCGGTTGGCTGGGCATCGTCTTGTGCACTGGAAGGTCGAGGGTTCAATTCCCGGTCAGGGCACATACCTAGGTTGTGGGTTTGGTCCCCAGTCAGGGCTCTAGGGGAGGCAACCGACTGATGTTTCTCTCTCTCTCTCCCTCCCTCCCCTTCTCCCCCTTCTTCTCTGCCTAAAATCAGTAAACATATTCTCAAGTGAGGGTTTTAAAAAAGTGAATAATTATAATTGTATCCCACCGTGAGACACCCTCATCTCCTGGGAACAGTGGGTCGTGGATCTGGGTAAATTTTCCTTCATTTGTTTATTTACCCTCCTCAACCGTTGAGAAACAAACTTAGTAATCAAAGTTTAGAGAGGAAGTTAATTAGAGCGGCTTTTCATCTCCATCTTTATACTTCTTTTAAAGATATTTTAAAATATTCATTCAACTTGTAAAAGAAATGGAAGGCTCTTGGTGGCCACCACAGGAAAAGAACTGGTTCCAAGACTGAGGAGTCCAAGGCCGTAAGCGTGGCCCCGGGCTGCACTGTCACTGGTCAGATACTGATAAAGATGGGGTGGCGTCAGCGATCCCAGGGTGTTCGACGGGGGAGCTTAGTGCAGAGAGGGACATTGGGTCCTAGTAAAAGACCCATTAAAAACAGAAATAGGAGCCAGTGTGGCTCACCACCCCATTATGCGACAGGGAAGCACTTTCAGGAAAGTGAAAGATGTCTTGAAACTTGTTAGAAATGTCGAGCCTAGAGGCTTTGAGCAAGGGACACGTTGAGCCTCCTCGGATATGAATGTGTCCCAAGACCTCAAACTTTGGAACAATTATTTGAATTGAGACTAGGGTGTAAAACAGAGACGTCGGAGCTGGAGGGTTCTTGCTATAGGGGATGAGAGCCAGTCAGAACCGTTTAGAAAAAAATAACCGTCTTACAGCTAAGAGATGGGATGAATGTGCTGCTTTGAGTCCAGAATTATTGTCAGAAACTGGTGAACTTTCAGCAGCAATTTAAAAATATTTTTCGTCTCTTCTTGTGTAAATAACCTGTCCAGATTAATATCCAATCAGATGGCCATAATTTGGAAATAAGCAAATATCCATTTCTTGTCTACAGTTAGTTCCTTGTGCAATCCTTCCAACTTAAATAAATAGGGCGGCCAGGATAATATAAACGGTTGTTTTAAGATATATGTACTTGACAAGACCCCAAAATGTCCATATTTAGTTATAACTCTGAGGGGGTTTTGCCCCTGAGAGAAATTGTTTGTAATCAACAGAACCAAGTATATTAATACAGGGTAGGGCTAGAGGTTTGACCCTCCCATCTCATTCCCTCCGATGACACAACTCAGACCTACGGAAGGAGATGGCACCTTCCATGCCGCAGGCTGGAGGGGCTGCGCTCGCCCCAGCGAGCAGTTTCTGGAAGCAGCGCGTTACCCTGGAGCACCTGGGGGCTGCCAGGCCTCTGCGCCCGCCCGGTCTGCGGGGCTAACAGGCCGCGGCCTCGCCACTTAGTCACAGCTGCAGGCACGCGCTGGGCCCGGGGCTGCGGCTCACCGGGGTGGCCCGTTTCCAGGGCCTGCGTGTCCGTGTGGCGTGGCAGCCACAAGTGGCCTTAGCGACGTGTAATGGTTCCGGCTCTTTCTGGATGTAGCAAGAACTTGACTTGAGACAGGTAAGGAGGCAAGTGAGACAAATGAGAGAGACAAACAAGTATACACCTATTTCTTAACTAACCAGGTAAAACTCAACCCGTTTTGATGCAGTAAAACTTCATTTTAAAAACCATGTTTTTAAAGAAATCACAGACTCTTTCTTGGCTGGTTATTTTTATGTGGTAGTATTGAATATCCCCTTCCTGTCAAATAAAGCTTAACATTTTTCCTCGACCGAAGGGGCCAACATCTAAATTACAGGTTGCTGAATTTTGCTTTTTTTC